GATGAGAAGGGGCATAAGGTTGGCTTTTGTTTTCTTGTGTCTCTTTTCTTGAAATTCTCGTGAAGTTCACGAACAGGAAAAACTGAAATACCAGGTGATGGTTCATGAACTCACTTCAAAAGAAAAGCAACGCATGACAGTACGGCGGCCATATCAGCTCACCGCAAAAGCAAGTGATCACACTTCTCATTTAGTTACCTATGTCTGAATTCTTACCACGCATGTTACGATTTATCTAGTTTATTTCGAAGTTATATTATAGCCTTCTTATAGCATGGTGCTAAATAAAGACAAAAATTTGCCAGCCCTTTGACAAATCGTTCATTCGTTTCTATAATAAACTGATGCTGATATTCAAACGAATCGCCAACAGCTTGCTTCTGAACAAGTCTTAAAAGAGGTGTCGCCTATAGCCATGCCTGTGTCCGCTATCACCAGGACTACTTTCGAGTGTCTTCGCCACTTAAAACGAGTGAATTACGAAATTTTATTAATTTTATTTACTAGTAAATCTTGCAGTATAATATGCCAGGGGGTATCACAAATAATGAAGTTCTAACCACTGACGTTGAAGTAGAAAGTACTTCTGCACAGTAGATGGACATTGTTTTTCAGCAGTAGGTTCAGCGCTGAACTTTCACGCAGAAGCTATAAATGGTGTGTCAGATTTTAAAAGTGCGGTGCTATATGCAGCTAGAATGCAGCAAGCACGAAAAACTGTTTAAATAGAGGAAAGTGATGCAGAACGCAACCTAGGCTGGAACGCAACAGGCTTGCCGGTGCGATCATACGTTTTTGCACTAAACTCGCAGATCGCTAATAACAGGAATGAACACTGCGCTGTAGCTCAACACTTGTGCTCATACTAGCCACGCTCTGACCTCTTCCGGCATGCAGCAGGAAGGGCGTCGGTTGGGATGAACTTGTTGCATTATAGGACGGCGTGGAATCCAGGTACATGATTATCAGTTTTTTGTATGAAGCCCGGTCGTTCTTCTGATAAATGCTCGCTCTTCGAAAAAACGAAAAATGCAAAACTTTCACTTCTTCACTAAAAAATGGAAATGTTGCTAGAGCGGTATGCAAATGAAAAAAAAAATCCAAGTATGCAAATGAACTGTATGTTCGTTTAAATATTTGGATGAGGCAGTTGTTCGGTACAAAACGCATTCGTTTCTGATTTTCAGTAAAGTTGAGTGTTTATCGTAACCACCTGCAGGGAATTTTACTTCCAAGCAAATTAAGACCGCACTTGAAAATAGAATATCCCAGCCAACTTTCAGCTTCGCATCTTCCAATTCGCTACAAATATCTTTGAAGTATGGTGCAAGTGCAAATCGGTACTCATTTTACGTATACGATTTCCCATACGGCGATAAACATGCTGACAAAATTTCAGCCATTGTTTTTCGGCAAGTTTTTGAGTTAGCACAGTAGCAAACCTTGATGTAATCGCATGCGCTGCACAGGCGTGCACGACAGCTGAATTTGGAATCTTTAGCTCGTGCATGCACAGAGAATAACCCCGTAAAGTTTCAGCTCTGCACCTTGTCTGGTTCGCGAAATCGTTTCCCGCCAAAGAAATTTACATATTTTTTTCGGCGGTTCGTATGCGGGATCTAGGCGCGTATGAGCGAAAATTTTAAAAAGGGAAGACACACGAGATGGGAACATACGCCCAAAATTTCAGCCTTCTAGCTTTCCTGGTTGCTGAGATGAAAGTGGGTGAAAAAGTTCATTCGCTTCCGAACACACACACATATAGACGACCTCTCGACAATATGCGTTTTTGCTGTGCCAGCAAAAACGCGTAAAAACCAATAAACTGGATCAAAGACGGTTTCTGGGAACACTGCACATTTTGGTACTACTCAGCTTATACAAAACTCAAGGAATTTGTATCACGTTGCGTTTGGTCACCTAACTGTGTACGCACAGTTAGGTGACCATTACTTCTGAAGAAGGCAGTGGGAGTTCTATATATAAACTAAAGTTTACGTTAACATTTCTTATTACTAACACTTCAAAAGCACATTTTATAGGATAAGACGATGCACAACCCTTACAGAATTTCAGAATTTCCTGGATCCAAAAAAATCCTTATTCATTTACCATTAACTTATTAATTTAATAAATGAATAAAAAATTGTCCTCCACTCTGCACCTTCTTCAGTTCGTTTCCTGAAATTTCTTTTATTTTACCAATCTGAACAGCACTCTAAACCAGTACCGGCACGCACTAGGCTCGTCGCTGCGATTATAAGTTTTTTGCGCAATTTCCCCCACACATATATTTCGTTAAGTAGTACTATAGTTTCTGGGCAGGCACCTTTAGCTAAATGAATACAAATATACGCCAAATTCGGATTTGTTATTACCATTTTTATTCGCTTTTGCACAGCAGGTTATCCGAATGTCAGCGCATTTTTTCACCAATTTTCAACTCAACAGCCAGAGAATCTAGTAAGCAAGAAATTTTCAAGAATATTCCCACTACATGTGCGACCTTACCGTTTTTTTTATACGTTTTTGCTGTGCAACTCAATAGTACTGCTGAACTGAGTAAAAGCATATATTGTAGAGAGGCTCGCGATGTGTGTGCATGTGTACGTGTGTACGTGTGTGTGTGTCACCCATTTTGAGCCCAGCAAACAGGAGAGCTGGAAGGGTGAAATTTTCGGGACTCATTCACAGCATACATGTTATCCTTACAACCTGAAATCATCGCTCGTGCTTGCCCGAACTACACGCGTAGACGCCGAAAAAAACATATAAATTTTTCGGCGGGAAAACGATTTCGAGAACCAGATAAGTTAGAAAGTTGAAATTTGACACTGATATTGCCATGTGTGAATTAAAGATTTCAAACTGAATTATCGCGCACGCCTGTGCTACGTGCATAGTCGTGTCAAAATTTGCGGTTGGCACCGTTCCAACGTGAAAACCAGCCTAAAACAATAGCTAAAGTTTCGTCTGAATATTTGTCGCCCATCTAGGAAATCATATACCTAAAAGGAGTTTCGATACGCAATTGGCGCCACGACTTAGAGCGCTTCAAAGATATTTTAGCGAAGTGGCTATTTCACTTAACAGACAAGCTGCAAAGCTGAAATTTTGCAGAATTATTCTATATTCACGCACGCTCAGAATGTAGCTTTAACCCTAAATCCTTTACATGAGGACATGAGAAACACTCAATATTATCGCAAACTCAAAAGTGAGTACGTTTTGCGGGTTTCGAAATCTTCCCGTTCAGACACCCTGTGTATTGCCAAATTTGCATTTCTTCGATGTACGTCTGCTCACCGGAAAAGCGACCAGTCTTCAAAATGGGTGCTCACACGGTCCCATGGTGCAACACTGCCATCCTAACCGACGCCCTTTTCTCCTGCATGCGCAAGAAAAAATCAAAAAACAGCCAACGTGAGTCCACTTGTTATATTGTTATGGAGAAACCATTCATGCTGTCAGTGAACTGACTGCTGCAAGCTTAGTGCAACAACGCATTGTCCCTCTGGCGAGCGTGGGTATATTATTTGGGTTACACGTGCAGACGCCTGAAAAACTTACAAATTCGTTGGCAGGAAAGCGATTTCGAGAACCAGGCAAGAGGGGAAGCTTGAAATTTGTTGAAGATTTCAAATTTAACTTCAGTGCACTTCTATGTGCTACGTTTACGAACAAATCAAAGTTAGGATTAAGATAACGTTGGAAAATGCCAACTTCGGAACGATTTGGTTAATCTAACTTTACGATAATTTATTTCCCACGCATGAGCATATAGGCGTAAAATAAGTTTTGGCTTTCGCCTGCATCGCGTATTCGGACAAGTCAAAGATAATTCTAACAGAAAATGATTACGCTAATTTGTCATACTAAGGAGCCGAAAGTTTATGAGTTATCTTGTCCTGCTGGCTTTTTATTAAACTGCTATCTAAATATTTCAAATTCGGCTTCGAGCACAGTTAGGTTTCGCGCGCGCAAGTAAATGTCCGGTTCGAGACAGCTGGCACCCAGTTAGCTCAATAGCCAGGCTAAGCAAGAAACAGTATTTTTCTGATGATGTTTACTAGTCATTTACCAGCCAGCAAGCATAAGATGAACGTCTGTCTAGGCATGGTCGTGAAAAAAAAGGTTAGTGTCAAACAGCACCGTGCGTCAGATGGATGAACGAGAAAGCAGTTTTCACATACGCTTAGCCAAATACGGTCGTGAACTGTGCATACTGCTAAGGCAAATGTTTTAATTCTGGAGCTACAAAACTGTCTGCATTAAATTTCAAGCCTTTGTGCGTGAGATTTGGAAGAGCATGGAACGAGCACACATCAAGACTACGCTATCCAGCTCTCGGGGAATGTTGTCCAGTGTTCTGGGATATCACCGAGCATTCGGAGAGAAACCGCGCATGATATTCTATGGCTTCTCATTATGCAAACAAAGACAGAACAATGCAAAGTCGAGCTGACCTGAACCGAACTGAGTTTTAGCTTTGCCGCCACCTCCTCCTTCCCCTTCTTAAGGAAATTGCTGTCTAGATGTGAAATGTTGAAGGCGATTTCGGTTTTGGCAAGCATCGGTACTGAGTTATGGTCAAAAAGAAGCCTGGTACAAAGTTGGAACGCAGCATTAACTTTCTGTTGTTTTTCTCCACTGCATGTTGAAAATGAATCGATTTAGCAAAGCGCGTAGCGAGGGACCTGAAGACTGCTGCCAGTTATCTGCTTTCTCTGAGGCTCGGCTTAGAAACACAATCTGAAAGTCGCCGCTAGTAACAAATCCATACTATTTCTTAGGAAAGTCGTTTGTGGAATAGGACGAATGTTTCAAGTTCTTGGAACTTCACTACAATTAGCAGGGTGTAAAACATTTCGGAATAAAATTGCTGTGAAGGTTTAGAAAGCTGCGCAACTTTACTATCAATAAATTTTGATGAACACGTAACTGCCATGCATAATTTTTCGTAGAATTTAGTGGAATTTTCGAGTGAATGCATGCGAGCGATGTGTGAAGCGGATTCTGGATGCGTGCCAAAAGGATGTGAAGAAGACATTCACGGAAGGTATGGATGTGGCTACTTCCGACTCAACATTTACCATTACAAAGTATGGACATTTATTTTCTTTTTGGGAACTCTCCATAAAAACTCTTTCCGAAAACCGATGTTTACAGAAGAAAATAAATAAATGGTAATTATCTTTTTTGAATTAGGTTGTTCTAAGCGAACGATCAGTAAATCGATATAGGCAGTATGTGATTTCAATACATTCGTCTCTACTTCTTTATGCACATTTGCCTCATCCGGTGAATGTAGAGGGTAACAAAATTTGGACTCATTACTTGCGTCACCTTGGAATTGCATAATTAGTGTTGCTTCAAATGTTATAACTACATCAGGCAGAGTGCAGTTTTAAAGCTGGTCCAGATTCATTTAACTTAGACATTTTGTCGAAATTTGCCTTTACAATTTTTAATTTCTATCTTTTCATTGTCAGATTCGTTCGCCATCATATGAGACCGGAACTGTGTTTCAAAAGTTTGAGTTTTGCAGTTTTCCTAGTTCCAATGATATACTAACCAAACACATGCACACAGTTTTGCAATGGTTTATTTTCGATCTAAGTAAGATGCACAGGATTTAATGCGAGCTAATTAATTACCCCAAGCTGCAATGAGATTTGTAGAAAATCCCCTTTCAGATTCATTCATCCAGTTTTCAACGCCCTCTACAATGCAGATATGTCATAGTAGGCGTTGAAAAGTGGATGAATGAAACTGAAAGGGGATTTTCTGCAAAAATCCCCTTGAAACGCACTAGGAACGTAGGAACAAATCTTAATGGAGAAATGACGCTAAAAATTATTGAACAACATACACAGAGAAAATGAGTAAATTTCTGCAGAGAAAAATTGAAAAAACACTGAAGGACATGCAGCTTTGCCCCTAAAGTAAAGCACTTGATACAGCAAACAATTACACTTGATACAGCAAACAATTACAAAAAAAAAAATTATTTCCCATTAAAAAAATTCAGTAAAAATAAAAGAATGAGACGGATGTTGGTTTCCAGACGCCAGTAATGATAAGAAGTGAATTCCGAGCCCTGCGTGAGACCTAGTTATTCAAATGTATGAACCGAGCATAATAACCCGAGCATCAGGTTTGCCAGTGCGACAGTGCGTTTTTTTTCGCGCTGAACTTGAAGTAATCAAGTTGTTTTTTAACTGCTTGCATGGTTGATGCTTTACATTTAAATTGCGCACTCAATGCCACAAACCACCGTAAATTTTGCATAAAGAACTCAAGCTGGAACGCGCCGGGCGGCCTCGTGCGATCATGCGTTTTTGCACCGGACTTCAAGTACTCAGGTCATTAACTGCATGAATGGCTGTTGCTTTACACCTACCTTTTACGGTCACTAGCATAAATCATCATAAATTTTGCAAAGTAAATGTACAATTTCCATTTAACAGTCGTT